GTCTACACATTCTGGCCACATTTTTTTCCAGGCAGAGTTCAAGGTCCTCTTAGTCACTCCCTCCCAAGCCTTACCTATAAGGTTTACACAATTGAGGATATTAAAGTGATCCTTCCAAAACTCCTTTACAGTCAATAGAGTGTCTGTGGTCACTTCAAAGCACCTTTCAAACATTTGCTTTTTTTGTACAGTTTCTTGAAGTTGGAATGACCCGCTGGTCATGGGCTGCAGGAGAGGAGTGGTATTAGGGAGGCAAAAACTTGACCTTAATGAAACTCATGTCCCCCGAAAGTCGCTCTGCCAAGTCTGTGGTGACCAGGGGCATTGTCTAATACCAGGAGGGGATTAAGGGCTAATTTCTTTTCAATTAGGTAATTTTTCACATTGGGGGCAAATGCATGGTGTAACCCGTCGTAGAAAAAACCCTAGTGACCCATGCCTTAGTGTTTGCCCTCCACAGCACACACAAATTAGCCTTGAGGATATTCTTTTGCCTGAACGCTCTGGGAGTTTCAGAGTGATACACCAATAAAGGCTTCACTTTGCAATCACCACTAGCATTGGCATCATCAGAAGAGTAAGCCTGTCTTTCATAGGCTTATGTCCTGGGAGTGCCTTTTCCTCCTGAGTAATGTAGGTTCTGCTTGGCAATTTCTTCCAAGACAGGCTTGTTTCGTCGCAATTAAACACTTGTTCAGGTTTCAAGTCTTCACTGTCTATGTAATCCTTGAATTCCTTCACATATTTTTCAGCTGCTTTTTGGTCCGAACTGGCAGCCTCACCATGCCTAATCACACTATGTATGCCACTACGATTCTTAAATCTTTCAAGCTAACCTTTGCTGGCCTTAAATTCACTCACATCACCACTAGTTGCAGGCAATTTTTTTACCAAATCGTCATGCAACTGCCTAGCCTTTTCACAAATGATCGCTTGAGAGATGCTATCTCCTGCTATCTGTTTTTCATTTATCCACACCAATAATAGTCTCTCAACATTTTCTAACACTTGTGGTTGCTGTTTTGTAATCACAGTTGCAACTTTTGCAACAACAGCTTCCTTGATTGCCATTTTCCTGGTCACTATAGTAGAGATGGTTGATTGGGGTTTTGTATACAACTTGGCCAGCTCCGACACACGCACTCCACTTTCGTACTTTGCGATTATCTCTTTCTTCATTTCAGTAGTCATTAGCACCCTTGGTCTCGAAGGGTTGGCACTAGAAGCTTTCTTGGGGCCCATTACCTGGAGTTTACCTGGAGAGAGTTCCAGGGGTCAATGCCCCCGCGGCCCGGTCTGTGACCAGGCCTCCTGGTGGATCAGAGCCTGATCAACCAGGCTGACTTATTTTGCACAAATAAGCACCAAAAACACTGTGATAATATGGAATGTACCAAATGTATCCTTATATGCGAGCTCACTTGCTGGCTTGTAAACACTGGCACACACGGGACAGTTCAGGCCACACGTGGACACATCTCGGACGAATCGTGTATACCAGGTTTTGTAACGGGAACCGAGGCAAAATTTTTGCGATACAATGCATCGAATACCAGATTTATTGGATACCGATGGCATTGCGAACCGGGGCTCCACTGTACTTGCAACATCTACCACATTGCTCCCCTATCCACTCTTATCATATGCCTTTTCTAAATCCATAAATGCAATAAAAACTTCCCTACCTTTATCTAAATACTGTTCACATATATGCTTCAATGTAAACACTTGATCTACACATCCCCTACCCACTCTGAAACCTCCTTGCTCATCTGCAATCCTACATTCTGTCTTACCTCTAATTATTTCAGTTATAACCCTTCCGTACACTTTTCCTGGTAAACTCGGTAAACTTATTCCTCTATAATTTTTACAGTACAATCTTACTGTACTATATTCTGTCATGTGCACCAACTGTAGCCCAAATGAGAACCTCTCATCAGGCCTCAAGGCCATATTGTCCATGAGCTCAGATTAAGTTGTAATAAATGATTATCAATGAATAAACGGAAGGATGGAGAAGAGGCTTGAACTGTGGTCCCAAAATTGTCAAATTGTCAGGTCCTTCATTCTACTATCTCAGATACCAGGCTTCTAATAGTGAAGATTTGGAACTAGAAGATCTGTCTCTACTACTTTTCTGACACCAGCTATTTCCTTACTATCTGGACCTGCTACGTGCCAGGACCATGGTTTGAGTCCCTGTCTAGTCTTCTATTTATTCACTAACAGTGATCATTATGACTTATCTTTGTGGACTATATGGCTTTAAAGTGTCTAAGAACTGATATGCCATGAATACTAATGGGGTTGTAGGATGGAACAGTAGCATCACAGCTGGTACTGTTGACATAGACAAGTTAGCTGTGAAATCTCCATATTAGTAAGGATTGTAACTCAGTGATCACAAATCACTCAGTTTTAACATATCATGGAATTCCCCTAATAATGGCAATCAAGTCTCCGTCCCTGACTTTCGCTTGGCTGATTTCATAGGACTGAAAAATTACTTAGGTGGGCTGAACTGGAATGACCTGACTAGGGGTCAGGTAGGTGGTGATGGTTGCCGATATGATGCTTTCCAGGGCATAGTTCTAGCTGCTCAGTCAAATTATGTTCCAAATAGGAAATCAGATCAAACAAAAATGATCCTAAATGGATGAACAATAGATTAAAATATCTGATTGGTCAAAAGAGAGGCATATATAGGCAAATCAAAAGAGGAGAGGGGCAATTAAGAAATCGATATATTCAGTTAAAGAGAGAATAAAAAAAGGGAATTAGAAAAGCAAAAGAGATTATGAGGTTAAAGTTGCAAGAGAATCGAAAGACTAACCCAAAAGGATTCTTTCAGGTATACAGAAGTAAGATCAGGGACAAGATAGGCCCACTCAAAAGTTCCTCGGGTCAGCTCACTGACAGTGATAAGGAAATGTGTAGAATTTTTTAAACACATACTTCCTCTCAGTTTTTACACAGGAGGATACCAGTGATATTCCAGTAATGATAAATTATGTAGAACAGGACGATAATAAACTGTGCACTATTAGGGTCACAAGTGACATGGTCCTTAGGCAAATAGATAAATTAAAACCTAACAAATCCCCAGGCCCTGATGAACTGTATGCAAGGGTTCTAAAGGAATGTAAAGAGGAGCTTAGCACACCTTTGGCTAATCTTTTCAACATATCACTACAAACTGCATGGTGCCAGATAAGTGGAAAATGGCAAATGTGATACCTATTTTCAAACAGGTGACAGGTCCTTAGCTTCGAACTATAGACCAATAAGCCTAACCTCCATAGTTGGAAAATTTATGGAATCAATAATTGCCGAGGCAGTTCGTAGCCACCTTGAAAAGCATAAATTAATCAAACGAATCTCAGCATGGTTTTTACAAAGGGACGTTCCTGCCTTACGAATTTATTAACTTTTTTCACTAAGGTATTTGAGGAGGTAGATCATGGTAACGAATATGATATTGTGTATATGGACTTCAGTAAGGCTTTTGACAGGGTCCCACATCAGAGACTATTGAGGAAATTAAAGCACATGGAATAGTAGGAGAAAATTTTTTCCTGGATAGAGGCATGGTTGACAAATAGGCAGCAGAGAGTTTGCATAAATGGGGAGAAATCAGAGTGGGGAAGCGTCACGAGCGGTGTTCCACAGGGGTCAGTGTTGGGCCCCCTGCTGTTCACAATCTACATAAACGACATAGATGAGGGCATAAAGAGCGACATCGGCAAGTTTGCCGATGACACCAAAAATAGGCCGTCGAATTCATTCTGACGAGGACATTCGAGCACTCCAGGAAGATTTGAATAGACTGATGCAGTGGTCGGAGAAGTGGCAGATGCAGTTTAATATAGACAAATGCAAAGTTCTAAATGTTGGACAGGACAATAACCATGCCACATATAAACTAAATAATGTAGATCTTAATATTACGGATTGCGAAAAAGATTTAGGAGTTCTGGTTAGCAGTAATCTGAAACCAAGACAACAGTGCATAAGTGTTCGCAATAAAGCTAATAGAATCCTTGGCTTCATATCAAGAAGCATAAATAATAGGAGTCCTCAGGTTGTTCTTCAACTCTATACATCCTTGGTTAGGCCTCATTTAGATTATGCTGCACAGTTTTGGTCACCGTATTACAGAATGGATATAAATTCTCTGGAAATGTACAAAGGAGGATGACAAAGATGATCCCATGTATCAGAAAACCTTCCCTATGAGGATAGACTAAGGGCCTGAAACTGCACTCTCTAGAAAGACGTAGAATTAGGGGGGATATGATTGAGGTTTATAAGTGGAAGACAGGAATAAATAAAGGGGATGTAAATAGTGTGCTGATAATATCTAGCCTAGACAGGACTCGCAGCAATGGTTTTAAGTTGGAAAAATTCAGATTCAGGAGGGATATAGGAAAGTACTGGTTTGGTAATAGAGTTGTGGATGAGTGGAACAAACTCCCAAGTACCGTTATAGAGGCCAGAACGTTGTGTAGCTTTAAAAATAGGTTGGATAAATACATGAGTAGATGTGGGTGGGTGTGAGTTAGACCTGATAGCTTGTGCTAACGGGTCGGTTGCCGTGTTCCTCCCTTGAGTCAATGTGACCTGACCTGACTAGGTTGGGTGCATTGGCTTAAGCCGGTAGGGACTTGGACCTGCCTCGCATGGGCCAGTAGGCCTTCTGCAGTGTTCCTTCGTTCTTATGTTCTTATGTTTACTTGTATATTGCAATAAATTTTTTTCCTACACCTGTAGTTTTGCTCATTATGATTGTATTAATTATACATGTAATGACACTGAAGTTCAAGTTGCCCCAGTCAACCTTTTATACAGTGATTATTCTATTGTGGGACTCCATATATAACTGATGGAGAAAATAATGTACCTAGTTGAAATTCTCTTTATTTTTTCCATATTCATTCATCATTTTAAAGCAGTAGTAAACATTTGTATGACATTAATTTATATACTTTTTCTTACAGATTGATGGGAATGATTTAGATATGAGCCGAGACTGGTTAAAGCGCAAGCAGATGGAAAATGGATGCTTTGAATCAGTTGGGAAAGTTTTTCATAAAGGCATGAAGGTAAGTTGATTGGTTGTATTCCTTTACTTATTAGAAAGAACACGTAATAAAAGCAGACACAGAAGACCAGAAAGCAAACTTGATGACAGCAGTCCAGGTTATGACCTCACAAGCAGCAGTTCAGGTTATGACCTCACAAGCAGCAGTTCAGGTTACGACCTCACAAGCAGCAGTTCAGGTTACAACCTCACAAGCAGCAGTCCAGGTTACAACCTCACAAGCAGCAGTCCAGGTTACGACCTCACAAGCAGCAGTCCAGGTTACAAAATCACAAGCAGCAGTTCAGGTTACGACCTCACAAGCAGCAGTCCAGGTTACAAAATCACAAGCAGCAGTTCAGGTTATGACCTCACGAGCAGCATCCAGGTTACGACCTCACAAGCAGCAGTCCAGGTTACAAAATCACAAGCAGCAGTTCAGGTTACGACCTCACGAGCAGCGTCCAGGTTACGACCTCACAAGCAGCAGTCCAGGTTACAAAATCACAAGCAGCGTCCAGGTTACGACCTCACAAGCAGCAGTCCAGGTTATAAAATCACAAGCAGCAGTTCAGGTTACGACCTCACGAGCAGCGTCCAGGTTACGACCTCACAAGCAGCAGTCCAGGTTACAAAATCACAAGCAGTAGTTCAGGTTTCGACCTCACAAGCAGCAGTTCAGGTTACGACCTCACGACCTCCATCAGCCTGACTTTTGATGACAGTTCAACAGCCTGATCAGCTAGGTTATTGTTACCAGAAGCCTGCATGCTCACATACTTTAGAATTCACAGCATGATTGATCAAGCATTTCCTGCAGAAACGTTTCTAATATTTTTTTATATCAGTTGATAGAAATGACAATTTTATGTTGCTTATGTTGCCTATACTTTTCTCAATTACATAACACTATTTGTATCATTTAGTGTGCTTATGCACAAAACAACACTAAACCAGCATGGGTTCTACACTGCAATCTTTCATTGCAATAATTAGTTTTTTTTTTTTTTCAACAAGTCGGCCGTCTCCCACCGAGGCAGGGTGACCCAAAAAAGAAAGAAAATCCCCCAAAAAAGAAAATACTTTCATCATCATTCAACACTTTCACCACACTCACACATTATCACTGCTTTTGCAGAGGTGCTCAGAATACAACAGTTTAGAAGCATATACGTATAAAGATACACAACATATCTCTCCAAACTGCCAATATCCCAAACCCCTCCTTTAAAGTGCAGGCATTGTACTTCCCATTTCCAGGACTCAAGTCCGACTATATGAAAATAACTGGTTTCCCTGAATCCCTTCACTAAATATTACCCTGCTCACACTCCAACAGATCGTCAGGTCCCAAGTATCATTCATCTCCATTCACTCCTATCTAACACGCTCATGCACGCTTGCTGGAAGTCCAAGCCCTTCGCCCACAAAACCTCCTTTACCCCCTCTTTCCAACCCTTTCGAGGACAACCCCTACCCCTCCTTCCTTCCCCTATAGAGTTATATGCTTTCCATGTCATTCTACTTTGATCCATTCTCTCTAAATGACCAAACCACCTCAACAACCCCTCTTCTGCCCTCTGACTAATACTTTTATTAACTCCACACCTTCTCCTAATTTCCACACTCCGAATTTTCTGCATAATATTTAAACCACACTTTCCCCTGACGGGGACATCTCCACTCCCCCAAACCCTCTCCCGTGCTGCTTTTACCACCCAAGTTTACACCCCATATAAGGGGTTTTGGAACTACTATCTTTCATCTTTCCCCCTTTTTTGCCTCCAAAATAATTTTTTTGACCCACATATACCCAAACGCCCCATCTTTTTTCCCCATCAATTCTATGATTAACCTCCCCTTTAAAAATCAAATCGGGGGGGGGGGGAAAAGTAATAGTAGAAAATTTTTTTTTTATTTCCCCAATTTTTGAATTAATTTTTTTTATTAAAATTATTTGTATTTTTATTTTTCTATGTTCACTTTAATTTCTCCTTTACACCTTTCTAAAAAAGTCACTAACTTTGCCCAATTTTTTTTTAGAATCCCCCAAGCACGTTCATCGAAAAAGTAACTGGTCAATTCCCATTTTGAATTTGTTTCCCCCATAATTTAACCCCACCCCCCCCCCAACCCCCAGATTTACTTCTTTTACCCCCCATTTAAAATATATTAAAAACCAGGTGCTTTTCACATCCCTGTCTAAGACCTATTTTACCGGGAAAAGCTCCCCTCTTCTACAACCTAACCTGACCCTCACTATCCTCAAAAAGCTTTTACAGCATTTGTGATTACCCCCTTTTTCCATTACTTGCAACATTGCCACATTGCTCCCTATCCCTCTATCATATCCCTTTTTCTAAATCCATAAATGAAATAAAAATTTCCCACCTTACTAAATACTGTTCACATATAGTTAAATGTAAACACTTGATCTACACATCCCCTCCCTACCGGGACCCTCCCGCTCATCCCCAATCCTACATTCTGTCTTCCTCTTTTCTTTAAAATTAAAACCCCTGCCTATATTTTTTCCCTGTTATATCAGTAAATTTAACTCCTCTAAAATTTTTTTACATCTCTTTTGTCCCCTTTCCCTTTTTTTAAAAAATTCCCTCCCCCTTATTTATACCTTTCCCTCCCTCTTACTTGTTGTTGCCCCCTTCCCTTTTCCCATTACCTCTTACTCTAACTGTACTACAAAAATAATGACCCGATATATCATTGCCCCTCTTAAACATGTACATCCGGAGCCTACCCTCAACCTTTTATCCCCAAACATAATCTAACAAACTACTTTCTTTACGGCTACATATACCTTGTATATTTTTTCCTTTTTTTCATAAATATGATTTTATTCCCAATTTCTTTTCTTAGCTAAATTTAAAAGGCCCCCTTTTCTTTTTCCCCCTGGCCCCAAATTTACCTAACTCCCTCCATAAATTTTTACCCACTTTAGCATTAAAATCCCCACCACCTTTACTCTCACACTTGTTCAAAACTCCCACGCTTTCACTCAACTTTTCCCCAAAACTCTCTCTCCCTCTACACTTTTCTTCCCCGGGTGCATCACATTACATAACCCACTTTTCACATCCAATCTTTATTTTACTCCCAAATCCTTGAATTTATACATTTGTAGTCCCCTTTTCCTCCCAAAACTTACCCCTCAGCATTATTGATCCTTCTTTAGCTCAAACTCTATTTGAAACCCTGACCAATCCCATTTATTCCTCTCCATTGAAACTCCCCACCCCTTCGCTTTGTTTCATTAAAAGCCAGACATCCATTTTTTCTCATTCAAAACATCCAAAACTCTCTTTCTTTCATTTCCCACAACATCCACGCACATTCAGATTTCCCCACTTTGAAAATTTTCTTCTTTTTTATTTTTTTTAGTAACTTTACGGGAAAAAGGGGGTTATCCCCTTGCCCCCGGCATTTTTTTTGACTTTTTAAAACAGCAGGGGCTTAGGGGGGAAAGATTCTTTTCCATTCCCATGGTATAAAAGGAAAAGAATAAGACCAAAAACTATTAAGATAAAATCAAAAAAACTCAGATGAGGTGTATAAAAAGTGTACATGTTGTGTGGTGACCTAAGTGTAATAGAAGTAGAAACATGCCTGTAATCTTGCATTTTATGAGACAGACAAAAGACCCCAGAATCCTACCATCTTAAAAACAATTACGGGCTTTCGTTTTAATACTTGGAGGACGGGGTACCCCTGGTGGGTTTTGTCCCAAACCCCTTTTTTAAAATTATTTTTTTTTGTTTTTTTTTTTCTTTTTTTAAATTTTAAAAGGGGTTCCATTTAAATTACTTTCCTTCAATAATAAATTTTCCTTATAATCTTTATAAAAATAAAAATTTTTTTTTTTTTTTTTTTTTTTTTCAAAATGGGAAAGAACCCAAAAAGAAAGAAAAAAAAAAAAAATACTTTCATCAAAATAACCTTTTAAAATCGACTAACATTTTTTCTTTTTGGAGAAAAACAACAGTTGAACTAAAAAAAAAGTCCCCCCCAATCCCCCCCAAAAATTTAATACCCAAACCCCCCCTTTTTAAATGGGAGACTTTCCCTTCCCCCGGGCATTGAAAAATTTTTGAATCCCCTTTTAAACCCTGCCAAAAAGGGAACTCGGGGTCCCAAGTACCATTTTTTATTTCCTTTAAACCCGGTCAGATTCTAATAAAACCCCCACCCCCAAAAATAAACCCCCCCTTTTTTTTCCCCCCCCGAAGGGCCCCCCCCGGGTTTTTCCCCCTTTTTTATATTTTTATTCATTCTATTTGATATTTCCAAAAAAAAAAAACCCCTTTTTCTATAAACTTTTTTAAACCACCCTTCTCCTTTTTTAAAATGAATTTTTGCAAAAATTTTTAACCCCCCAAAATTTCCTTTATAAAAATAAAAAAGGGTTTTTGGAAAAAAAATAAAAAAAAAAAAATTTTTTTGGGAAATTTTTATCAAAAAAAATTTTAACCAAGGATTTTTAAAAAAAATTTCAAAGGAAAAAAGTTTGGGTTTAAATACAACCTTTTTTTTTCTTTTAATTAAAACCCATTAACCTTTTGGTTGAAAAAACCTTTTGGGGGGTTAGACATTTCTAAAATAAAATTTTTTTATAAAGCTGGTAGGTATCGGGGGGAATTTGGGTCATTGGCAATTTTTAATTTAAATTGGCCCTTTTCCCAAATAAAAAAAATTTCCTTTGAAAAACAATTTCCATTAATTTGTTTTTTAAAATTTTTTTATCAAATTTTTTTCAAATTTTAAAAACTGAATTTTCAAAAATTTTTTGGGGTGTTACAAAAAATTTTTTGGGGAAAACCCGTGGAAAAAATTTTTTTTTCCAAATTTTTTGGGGAAAAATTTTTTTAACTTTCAGGGGGAATTTTTTTTTGGAAAAAAATATTTTTTTTAAATAAAATTTTTTTTTTTTAAAAATTTTTTTTTTTAATTTTAAAAAAAAAAAAGGGCATATTTTTAAAAAATTTTTTTTTTTGGGGGGGCCCTTTT